AATGCAAGATATCATGGTTTTATGTGCATGCCAATTTGCATGATATTTCATTATTCCCTCTCCTTTTTGTGTCCTGAAATGATTTGTGAATTTAAGCTTTTTATTAGCTCCGCTGTCGAGCGGAGCTTATCATATGAGTGATTGTTTGTCATCGTCAGTGTCAATGTCAGTGTTTTACTTTTACGACTCCTTGAAAACTACAAGCCTGCATTTTTTGATACTTGGTGTATATGTACCTTGGGTAGACCTCTCTTAGATTTATTCATTTCATGATGATATCTTCAATTCTCTAATTTTGGTGAATATTTTTGGCAGTTTTGGTAAAAAGTGATATTTTCAACTTCTTGTTAAAAGCCAAAAGTCCAATTGTTTTGATATTACATATATAGGGACTACATGTGGACCTTTCTCAGATATGTTAATTTTGTGGTGATACCTTTAATTCTCTAATTTTGGTGAATATTTTTGTAATTTTTGCTAAAAAGTGATATTTTTGACTTTTTGTTGAAAACTCCAATTGCTTTGATACTATACATATTGTTCATTTTCTAATGATATCTTCTGTTCTTTAATTGAAATGTGCATTGCTAACAGCGGGGTTATCTCAGCCGTCAGGCTGCTTGTTTATTTTCAAAATTATATGAAATGACAAATGAACTTTCAGTATCTCTGAAGTTGTAGCCATAATAGGAAAGAATAGGTCCATATCTGTTCATGTACCATGTGTCATTAAAGCTGCCTTCTGATTTTTGTCTTTACATTTTTGAGATAGAATTAGGTTAATCAATTAATATATGGGCTCTTTGAAGTGTATCGCGAAAAGACGATGCAATGTTAGCCCCATACATCAGTGATTGTGAGCAAAGTAATAGAAATTTGTTTCTATTATTTTTTATAGATCAGTTTTCTACTCAGACATGTTTTCAAGGTAGATTTGGTGAAGAGACTGGCAGTGACAAATTTGGTCATCAGATAATGTTTGGTGCTAAGGAGCAGGATGCAAACTTGGTTACTGGAAGAATTGAATACGTTGAAGTTACACATGCTGGTCAGGCTTTTCGCCTCGGTCGTTACCCGATTCATTTCCACATGAATGGTGATGTGTCTGGTTCCTATGTTCGTGGATGTGGTATTCATCATACATTCAATCGTGCTGTGACCATACATGGTGTCCATAATCTGTTAGTTGAACACAATGTGGCATTTGATATCATGGGTCATGCTTATTTCATGGAGGATGGCATAGAAACTAACAATATTATACAATATAACTTGGGTATCTTTGTAAAGGCAAGTTCTAGTTTACTCAATGTTGACATAACACCGGCAGTTTTCTGGATTACCAATCCAGATAATATTGTTCGACACAACGCCGCAGCTGGGAGTACACATTTTGGTTTTTGGTATAACATGCCTGTACATCCTGGTGGACCATCTTTTACTTCCACGATATACCCAAGGAAAATCCCAGTGAAAGAGTTCCAGAACAACACAGCACATTCCCTAGGGTGGTATGGACTATGGGTGTTCCCAACATACACTCCGATGGAAGGGGGTACAAATACACCTAGTCGTTTTTACAGCCTGACTTCATGGAACAATGAACGAGGAGCAGAAGTTGTTCACTCTGGTCCTGTGCAGCTGCATGAATTTGTAGTATTTAACAATGACAAGGCTGGAATTGAAATGGTTGATGTGAGCGGTGGATATGTTGATGGTCCTATGGTGAAAGATTCAGTTGTCATTGGTCATAGCAGCATTATCAATGCATCAGCATCATGTACTATTGCAGGGATAAAAACACCCAAGTCAGCTTTTTTGACTGTCGATGGCGTTAAATTTATCAATTTTGATGAGAACCGTTGTTCAGCTCTGAGAGCCTGTGCACATTGCAAAAGCCGACAAGGAGGATGGACAACTAAATTTCAGAATTTAGAATTTTTTAACTCGCCAAACAAAGTTGGTTTTCAGTGGGAGCATGAAGCTGTATATGTTGATTTGGATGGTTCACTGACTGGCAGTGCTAATTATATTGTAACCCCTAATAATGGTCTTCTTCCATCCGCTCACTGTGATGCCACTGCTCTATCTTTCAATGTGGGTACATCTCCAGGAGCTGTGTGTGATAACACTGTAAAAATACATCGTTTCGCATTCAACAGTGTCTCCCCTTCCTCTTTGCGATACAAAAATATCAACTTCATCAATGACTATGGCTCAAGCATTGTTCCATATAAAAAGGCGCGTCTCACTCACTTAAATGGTTGGATGATTACTCTGGTTGATGGAGAGAATTACAACATGGTATGGGAAGATGTTGAACACATCACAAATATCTCGTACGTCGGCACTCTCTATAATATGGAACCTACTGATTATGTTACTATAAGTCACTCTGTTGCACAAACTCCTGACCGCTTCTCTATTCTTGGTCATATGGCTGACACTACTGAAGAAATGGTGACCTATGATGATAATGACAATGGTGACTTCTACTTTGATAATGCTACTCATTCTGTGTCATATCTGTGTAAGTATAGAATATATAGAATTGTATTGGTGTACATACTTTCTGTATTACAACCACACCTGTGAGTCAGGGGCACTCCCATAGAAGATAGATATACAGTGATGTGTTGTCCAAAATTCCTAATATATTAGTCTAATTTCTAAGTAAAAATGATCTAGAAGTAGGTTTTTTGGCCAAGTTTGGACGAAAATTACTGCAAATGACATAATTTTTACCGAAAACTGGGTTTTTTTTTCTGTTATTTTTCAGACCAAATTTCTTGAGTTTGAGTGGCAGACCTCTGTCAATTATATTATTGATTTTTTGAATTATTCATTGTTTGGATAATCAAAAGTTTAGATAATTGATAGTTTGGATAATTGATTATTTGGAAAATTGATA